TCCTATAGTTTTGGCTTCTAATACCTTGATTTATTGATTGTCCAAAGTGCATTGGACTACATTGACAAATGTGCAGGTTTGATGAGCGATTTACACATCTACTTGTTGTTATGTCTTGTTGCTCTAGACTAACATTTTATGAGCTATACTTATATAGTTACTGGAAAAAAAGAATATAGGAAGAAACAACCTGTTGCCTTCTTTTCCAGCTCCTAGTTTTGAATGTCTGGTACTTTTATACCAAAGTGCCATGTGATGAAGTTGTTTACCAGAAACTGTTTCATCATGAGGATATTAAAGTTTTATGAGTAGTGTGGCAGGGAGGTTCCTGCTGATATTTGTGAGAAATTAATTGGCAACAAACTTTGATATAATCTTAACTTACAGGAGCTTTAAGATAGTACACATTATGATACAATCTCATTTTTATACCCCCGCACAACAAAGTTGTAAGGGGGGTATACTGGAATCAGCTTGTCCGTCCGTCCGGCTGTCCGTCCGTCCGGCCGTCCTGCCGTCCGTCCGTCGGTTTTTTCTTGTCCGCCCAATAACTTAAGATTCCTTTGACCCTTAGTCTTCATATTTGGCATGGAGGTTAGTCATGATTAGTAGATGACCCCTATTGATTTTGAGGTCACTAGGTCAAAGGTCAAGGTCACAGGGGCCTTGACTTCAAAAAGCTTGTCCGCCCAATAACTTAAGATTCCTTTGACGTACAGTCTTCATATTTGGCATGGATGTTAGTCATGATTAGTAGATGACCCCTATTGATATTAAGGTCACCAGGTCAAAGGTCAAGGTCACAGGGGCCTTGACTTCAAAAAGCTTGTCCGCCCAATAACTTAAGATTCCTTTGACCTACAGTCTTCATATTTGGCATGGAGGTTAGTCATGATTAGTAGATGACCCCTATTGATTTTGAGGTCACCAGGTCAAAGGTCAAGGTCACAGGGGCCTTGACTTCAAAAAGCTTGTCAGCCCAATAACTTAAGAATCCTTTGACCTACAGTCGTCATATTTGGCATGGAGGTTAGTCATGATTAGTAGATGATCCCTATTGATTTTGAGATCACCAGGTCAAAGGTCAAGGTCACAGGGGCCTTGACTTCAAAAAGCTTGTCCGCCCAATAACTTAAGATTCCTTTGACCTACAGTCGTCATATTTGGCATGGAGGTTAGTCATGATTAGTAGATGACCCCTATTGATTTTGAGATCACCAGGTCAAAGGTCAAGGTCACAGGGGCCTTGACTTCAAAAAGCTTGTCCGCCCAATAACTTAAGATTCCTTTGACCTACAGTCTTCATATTTGGCATAGAGGTTAGTCATGATTAGTAGATGACCCCTATTGATTTTGAGGTCACCAGGTCAAAGGTCAAGGTCATAGGGGCCTTGACTTCAAAAAGCTTGTCCGCCCAATAACTTTAGATTCCTTTCACCTACAGTCTTCATATTTGGCATAGAGGTTAGTCATGATTATTAGATGACCCCTATTGATTTTGAGGTCACCAGGTCAAAGGTCAAGGTCACAGGGGCCTTGACTTCAAAAAGCTTGTCCGCCCAATAACTTAAGATTCCTTTGACCTACAGTCTTCATATTCGGCATGGAGCGTAGTCATGATTAGTAGATGACCCCTTTTGATTTTGAGGTCACCAGATCAAAGGTCAAGGTCACAAGGGCCTTTACTTCAAAAAGCTTGTCCGCCCAATAACTTAAGATTCCTTTGACCCACAGTCTTCATATTTGGCATGGAGGTTAGTCATGATTAGTAGATGACCGCTATTGACTTTGAGGTCACCAGGTCAAAGGTCATGGTCACAGGGGCCTTAACTATAAAAAGCTTGTCTGCCATCTAACTTTAGATGCCTTTTACCCACAATCTTCATATTTGGAATGGAGGTTAGTCATGATTAGTAGATGACCCCTTTTGATTTTGAGGTCACTGGATCAAAGGTCAAGGTCACAGGGACCTTGACAAAAAAAGCTTTTCTTCTCAATTGCTAAAGAATGCCTGTCCGCAGTGTATTGATTTTGACATTTTCACATTTGAATCATGTAGTATACATAACTTAGCAATGCACTGGCTTAGTAACCTCAGATTTGGCAGGGAGGTTGTCCTTGAGCTCTAAATGGCCACTGTTGATTCTGACAATGTGGTATGCGGGGGTATTCACGCCATGATAGTGGCAGTTCTAGTTCAACTTGGTTTGACTGAAATCTAAACTTAAATAATGGTAATGTAGTATGGCCTTTATTTGTCTGTCTGTTTGTCACTAATTATTATTATAATAATACCTTTATCTTGACCATAACACTGATGTGCCTGATCCTACAGCCTCCAATTATTGCATGCACTTGATGAGCTCTACTCACCAGTCAATTGTAGTCAAAGGTCAAGTCACTATAGGGCCCGTGAGGTAGGGTTTGGGGGAGAGCATAGCATTCATTAAAATGTATTGCTTGTTAACTCTAAGTTCAGTGTATTATATTTCAAAGTTTTCTAAGTAACAAACTTTTGATGCCTGGTTTTGTTGTAATAAATGTAATAGTAAGTTAAGTAACAGTGTGTTTGACTGTTATTTTGCTAGTTTACTTGATGTATATCATTTATCAGATACAGCAGTCTGACCTCATGTAATATCTTATTTTTCCGGATTAAACATACAGCTTTTCGACTGTTTTGACTTTGTGAAAGATAAAAGCTTTTAAAGAATGAATTAAATTCGTTTTAGTAGCTGATACAGAATAATTATATGTAAATTACTTATGTAAAATAGGTTTTAATGAAATGCATTTAAACAATGGTGCGCTCTAATTGGATGGAAATAAATTCATGATGTTTGCTAATTTATGAAAATGCTGTCACATAATGAATAATGAAATAAGACAGTGTGCATTTTGTGTAATTTATTTTATGTACCTGTTGAATTTCTTGTTTCAATGAATGCTTTCATATGGCTCTTTTAATAGTTAGTTAAATAACAAGTCACTTTAAAGTAGGCAAAAAATTCAAAATGTAAACCTTCAATGTGACACTTCCCCTGTCATTCTGTGAAAAGTGGTTTATGGTGCCCAAATAGAAGAAATAGTGTGCCCTTAATGAGAAAATAATTGGTGGATCTAAATTATAACAATATATAAATATAGTTCTTTATCTATGATCTATTGATGATATAATTGTTTCCTGTAAAGAAAAATCTTGTATTACAATTATTTCTGTGAATTATGCATGACAAATAATGTTTGATATTGCAAAATGAGAATTTAAAATGTTTTGTAGCATTACATAATTAAATGATATGTAATGTTGATATTATAATTCTGTAATCAATTTATTCAAGATGTCAGATCATTTATTCATTGATGTTGAAACATTAATGACTGACCTTTACATGCTGAAACAGCAAAATACATTTAATCAGGAAAATAGCTTTTAGGGGAAAGGAAATACATATATGACAAATCTCTTGTGACAGTTGCTAAAGAAACATACAGTGGCTGATGTGTTTACAGAAATCACTTTGACCTTTGCTACCTTTTGTTTCATATGTCTAGAAATTCCATAGAGGTTTCTAAATAATGGGGTGTCAAGTAGGTTTTCACTGGCTTTATTATATTGCCCAGCAAGAGGTATTGTCTGTTATAATGGTCAGTCTCCTGGTAACTAGGATTTTAATTAACAACAGACACTGTACAGACACTTCTAGTCTACTTAGTTCCAGCTACAAACTTCATAATGTATGATCATGTTTTATGTTGGTCAGATATGGAGATATTGATGTTACTGTGACATTGTGAGCAAGTTTGGAATTACAGTTGTTTAATTGACAATTTACAGATATGAAGTATTCATTCTGTATTGGCTATTACATTGAAGTATTTAATTATAATTAAGTTATAGTCAGAGTTCATCTTTGAAGTGGTAATTTACTGGAAACTAAGTTTGATTCAGGAGTGCAAATATCTTATTTATATCATACATGCAGGAATAAAAAAAGTTAATTTTATGATAACATTATCTAATCCAGTTATAAAATTGAAAATGGCTCATTCTCTCTGTTACAAGATTATAAACAACATCATTATGTAAATGTTTGTATGTAAATATGGGTTATATTAGTCTGGAAAGGTGATGACTATTTTCTAGTAATCTGGTGATCTTTCTGTGATTTTCATTGATTAAAGAAAATTGTCTGGTACAAAATTTTCCCCAGGCTGGTTTATTGATTTCATTACATAATAATTAAGGTTTAATTGATTGGTGGATGTTACAGTCTGACATAGACTTACTTTGTTACTGGAGAATTTACTTTATATATTCTTTTTGAAGTTGAAACTTTTATTATTGTGAGCGACAATCATGTATATGATTTAATTAGGCATTAATTGACTGATTGTGTACACTTCATTGTTAATGTTATTGTGCAGTGCTTGAATAATTGAACAGATAGTCTGAAATTATACTCTTTATATTGGAGATGTATTTTCTGCATAACTTGGTGTAGAAACATTAGAGTGATAAATGACTGCATGTTCTAATTAAATTATCAAAATGTTCCCAAGGTTATTTTAATCTCAGTATGCTATATACATAAAAACAAGAAAAATTTCAAATTAAATATAGAGTATCTTAATTGATATCCACAGTTTTAGTTCTGTCAAAATACAAGAAAAGTTGAAAAATATTCCAATTTTAATACAATTGTATTTAATCATTAGATATTTGCATTACATCGCTGCAGCTGAGGAAGGTACAAATTAATATAAAAGTTTGTCTAATTTCTAAATAGAATTTGGGGATTAATCAGAATGTCTAAGGTTGGTTCAGTTTTCGTTTTGAAGGAAATCTTATTTTAATTGATGAAGTCAAGTGTGTATATATGTTTACCGTTACATCATTGATTGACTCAAACATTATAAAGCCAGCATCTGTAGAAATTGATTATCTGAAACTTTAACTGTGTAATGATCGTATTAGTGTCAATTAAAGGTAAGTTATTGGAGAAAGAACAACATTGTTAAATGGATTGTAAGCTGTATGTTTATATTGGATAGATTGGTGGAACAGATTTTTGTAGATTTGATGCAGGAGATAAATGGGCCATTAAATACTTGCAGCACATTGCCAGGTATATGATAATTGTGCTGATATTACATGCTATCATGTGTTATAACACAGATAGTGACTGGGAGGAGATGCTATAACATATAATATTGCCTTCAGACATTATATCACACTTCTCTTACAAACAGATTGTCACTGGTGCACGCTGATATATAGCTAATTTTTTATTAGATTAAATAAGATACCATCTAATTGGCTGAAGTTGGCAAGATTTTTTTCTTCTATAAATATGCTAGAGGGCATTTTGTTTTGAAATTTTTGTTGACAAGTTTTAAGGGTTTAAATTGTATTTTTTTCTCTTGATGAATGCATGTTGATCTGGATTATGAAAAAGATTGTTTTTCTGAATATATTACTGTGCATGACAACTGGAATATGAAAAGAATGAAATAAGAGCTATAAATGACTTGGTGGATAAAATAATGTGAATTAATAAATGAAAGGAATTGATTTTTGTATTGGATATAAGCTAACTATTGAGGAGTGATTTTGTTTAAAGTTGTGATTTTTATGGAGGATATTGGAGATGTTCTGTTGTTAATGAATGAATATAATTATCATAAATTAAACAAAATTAAATTGTGAATGATAACAGTTTTAAAGATTTAGAATTAATTACCTATCAAAGGCATTACATGCATTTTATTTTATTACAGCAGTGAATGTATTTTATATTTCCTCTAACTTTACTGATTGTTAGAGGACTTTCGGAAGAAATTGTTTACACTGAGAGTAATGTTTTCGGAAATTGTTTAATTGTCAGGATAATAAACAGTATATAACAATGTGAAGCTGTGACTGAGAGTTTAACTTTGTGCTGGATTATAAAATTATATTCTTGTAAAAATGTGAGATAAATTAAAGAAGAATTCTAGCAATTATGTTATCTTGGTGTGGATTACTGGATCATGCCTGGATTAACAGATTTATCTTATCCTTGGTACGTATTTATTGCTGTGTAAATATTTTGATAAGTGGCAATTAGATATGAGGATGTATAAATTAGTGAGTAATTAGTCAGTAATTAGTGTGTTATAACAAGATTAGTTTTCTGACAGATGTTTTAACTACATTGATACTGTTGCTGTAAATACCTTGTTTTATATAGGTAGATAAATGAGTACAGATTTTTGTTAGAATATGAAAAAAAAGAAGGAAAATTTTAATATTCTAATTTGATCTGCTGATGTTCATTAGCTATTATGTTAATTTGAATGATATTCTGTAAACATTTGTCCATTTTAATGGTCTCAAAATTGAAGCTGGATATAGATTTGTTAATCACACTGGTTTACATGTATCTGTGAAATTTAATTTTTGTATCACTGTTTTAGTTTTGCTACTCGAAGAATAGGGAAAGTTGTTGTTTTCACGTGCGTTGCTGGCACACTTTGGTTAAGTTTTTTCATAAACAAGTTGGTACCTCCAAAACTACACACATTATTTTCAGAGCATAATAGAAGGTCACTGTCCAAGACCCATAACTCTCACAAGTATTTTGACTGAATTATCACTCTTTTGAACTTAGAAAATTCTACATTATCGAGAATCTTGCTGAACTATCAAGGACTGAGAAAAGTCAGCACCCTGTCCTATGGACAGCTCTTGTTTTACTATGGACAGCTCTTGTTTTATTAACATTTTACCTATGAGTTTACCACTTGCCCGTCTGCGCTATGGGTTTGAATTCTGACAGGGACTTTGGATTCTTTCATGTGAGGAAGCTATCCAAATAGTCGGTGCTGTCGTAGCCGACAGCCAGACATATTGTTCAGACCTTACCTAGTCGATGATTAGGTCGATGACTTCAACCAGTTCTCGGGCGTGGGTTTAATCCTGAGAGGCTTTGGTGTTTACTGTGGAGGAAGTAGTCTAGTATGTTAACTCCAGAGTGGTAGAACTACCTGATTTCCTACCGCATATATGACTGAAAATAATACTGTTGAAAAAAAGGCGTGAAATGAAACAAACAAACAAATTCTTAAAATTTTCAGTAATGACTGACTCAGGTTTTGCTTATAATGAACAAGGTTTATGTAATGATATTGTAAATTATTTAAGAATTGAAAATGTACAGTGTACAGTGTTTGGCAGGTTGGTTGTTTTGTTAGATCAATTTTATCTTCTAAATAACCATCCCATAATGTCTGCTTTATGTTGTTGATATAGAACATTTTTTGGCATTTTAGCTTCTTCAATTATTTTGCAATCTTGTCATGAACTTAGTGACTTGTATGAACTTACATTACATTATCTTATATCTTTATTTTCAATTTTCCTAGTTCCTGTTTTCAAACAGCAGTTTAGAGATAAAATGTTGATACTTTCCTGGCATTATGTTTCTCTGTTGAATGGAATAAAAGTCATTGAGTGCTTATACAAGTATGTATTCTGTTGGTTATAATGAACAGAATGAGGTGTGTCTGTGTAAGATATTGTTGTCTCATGCAAATATTTATAGGTGTAGTTCCAGAAAGGGTTGAACATTTCAACAGAGGGTAATGAATTTTCCAGAGGGGGTTTGGGATTTTACTGTTTTTACCAAAGGGGGTCATGAGTAAAATTTTGCATGATTTTTATGAGTTTTTGCGTGATTTTCACTATAACATAAGTAATTATATCAAATTTCAGAGGGGTTTGACTCACTAGCCAAATCCAAAGTGGGTTAGGGGGTCATGACTTGCATAATTATGTATTACTATTTAGATTTTATATACATGAATATTGTGAATGTGTGAAAGTTTATTATTATTATATAATGACAAATATAGAAGCAGATGCAGTAGTTTGTATCTGAAGGTACAGATTTAATATGCATATATTCTGTGAATATTAATAAAGTAATCAAGGTGCAACATGACAGTCTGTCACAGTAGTGTTCATATTGAACATTGTAATTTTGATGGTTTCAGTTCATGCAGGTGGTTTTATAGAGATGATGGCAATTAATTTATACACAGGTAACAATTTCAAACTAATTATGTTATAATGCTGGCACTCAGGTAGGGACTCTGAAATAACAGTCCCTCATGCTGGTTGCCAATGTAACCTTAATACTCAAACATAATTATAACATATACATGGGTAAAAGTTGGCTTCAAGAAGTAAAAAAAATGCTAACTAAATTAAATATCTGAGTACAGTTAACATATAATAATTTTTGTATTTTCAGGTTATATTAGAAGCATGTCAGAACAAACAACAATGCCACCTGGTGGCCAGCACAAAGACATTCCAACAAGACCCGTGCCCTGGTACCAGGAAATACCTCAAAGTTGCCTACAAGTGCAAGCCAAGTATGTATCTTTATTCATGTCTTTTGTATTTGTTACCAGATAGGGTGTAAACAAAATGTTAGCATAATGTTAGACCTGACATGATTGTTAGGTTGACAATTTGAACCTTACAGATCAGCTTAAGTTACCCTGAAGGATATTTAGCAGTACATGTACTGTTACTGTGGCATTGCAATGTATCGCTGGACCTTAGTAAAAAAATATTGACAAGCCAAAGCTAGATTCTGAGATATTTTTGTTCTGGGTCAGAATCTTGCTTCTACACAATAACCTTCAAGGTAACATCTCCTGTAAGGTCCAGTGTAGTCCAACTAATTGTACTGCATGAGGAGATATTAAGCTATTTTGTGTCTGGGCAATATCTCACCTCACACTGGACCTTACAGGGAGATCAGCTTAAGTTACCCTGAAGGTTATTTAGCAGTTTGACACATTTATTTCTTTCAGCTATCAGTCAGTGAAAGTTGTCCAGATAAATATCATAAAATAAAATTGCTTTTCTTTAAATTCATTCTGACCCTGGTTTTTACTATCTTTGTTTCTTGGAAAACTGCAATAATTTTGATAAAACAGTTAATTAGAATTGTGAAGAAAGTATATCTGTACATTTCCTGTAACTTCATTGCCAGTTTAATTGATGATAAAATCAGTGAGATGGTGAGAATAGATTTTCACTAAATTGTAAGATTTTATCACAGTCTTATCAGTAAAATATCTGTATAATTATAGGAGTAAATTATCATTGATGAGTTATCTCCCCCTGCTGACTGCATATCTCCCAACCACCTACTCTTAAATCTTATAACCCATCTATCAATGTACCCTAGAAATAACTTTCATTGGAGTTTTTTTAACCTGATTTTTAAGTGTGATAGTATTAGTAACAAATAAATTGATGAAAGTAAAGTAAAAATGACACATGTTTATTAACATTTTGCCTGTTACTAGAAACAAATTCTACAATACAATAAGTCGTCATCTGATCATGGTCTGCACTGTTCATGTTTTAGTCAGTCCATATTTTTATTTTTTTCCCCCTAAAAATGATGGTTTAGTCCAGATTGAAATATGGACAAGTCCATTTAAGATATTTGGTGGTGTTGGTAGTTTTCACTCCAGATCACGGCAGTTAGTCACATTGAATTTACCAGAGCACAGCTCGGCCAACGCATCGTTCCTGGGCAGGCTGTCAAGCAGTTTACCAGTACTAGTTGCCGTCACTCTCGCAAGGAACTGATAACTTCTGTACATGCAAGACGTGCAGTGTGAATAACCTTAGAAAGGATTTCATGATCAATCACAACAAAAATGACCTGCGCCATCTGGGAATCGAACCCAGGTCGATCGATTCACAGTCCAACGCTCTACCTATGGAGCTAACCGGACAGTCTCATTTAAGATATTTAGTGTGATAAGGGTTAAAATATTCAAGTAAGATACCCCTTAAAAATGTATCTCAGGTTTTTAAGTGTATTCTAGGTTTAAATCAAATAAAAAATAATTGCATGCATGGTTTAAAATGGTACCTAACAGATAAAGTTAGAAGTTGATATGAAAATTTAACAATCTTGGTTAACAATCCTGCTGTAGTTAGATCATTAACATCTGGTTAACAGATTAACCTTAGAGAAATTGTGAAATTGTGTGCACATTGTGCACGTGCAGGACTAAATGATGAGCAGTGTGTGCAGAAATAAATCACTCAACAAGTTTTTTCATCTATTTATAAGTTAATCTTGTGTGTTATCACAGGCTTGTTAAAATATAAACTGTATACCAACCCTGTAAACATCCTGTCTCATTTATAAGATTGAATTTTAACATTTTTGTTTAGCAGGAAAATAGTTACTTTCCTGGAAATAAATTGTTATATGATAGTACTGGGTAATAAACCAGTTGTGACGTAAATTGGCAGAATACTAACACTATAAAATTAAATATGTACTTTACATTTACTGTGTACTATTTCACTTCACTTTAATTAGTTTAGAGTCATGTAATGATGTACTAATCTTAAAATTGTTGAATTTTGTTTAAAGACAAAATTATACAGTCCTGGCTTCAGCCCTTACTCAAGATTTTGTGAATATAATAAATTTTACAATCAAGTAAGATTCTTCTAAACTTTAATGATGTAGAGTCTTTTTCTCCCAACTTTAAAAATACAAATAGAGAAAATAAGATTACCTAAAGAAAGTCCAAAACGGCAGAGTTAAAAGTTGAATTTACTTTATCATATTTGTTCCCTAAATGTCTTTAATACAGTTTATACAGAGAGGTAAATTTTATGCAAATGAAAGTGTAAATGGCTACAGTGATTTATTAATGTTTGTTCATTTGCTTTTTTTGTAAATCCTGTACAGAGTAAATCTTAGATATGACAATTTTCCTATGACAGGAATTGAATTAATGATTTCCTGTGTCTGATATAAATATTGTCTGGAAACTGTCTCAGAAGACACAAGATGTTTGCCACTACCACTATAATGTGGCTGGTTACATGTACAGATAGTCTTAAATTTGTCCTCATGTGATTGCCTAGAAATAATTTGTTTTTATACAATATATGAGGGGTTCTGTTCTGTTCTGATAAGTTTGAGGAATGTTGGTTACTGAAACTTGAAATAGAAAGCAAAAAAGATGAAATATTATATGTCAGAAGACATGTTATCTCACAACTGACATAGATGTCAGATATTATTAAGGTATGAAGTCTAGTCTTTGATTAACTTTCTCTTGAAGGCTTCACTACCTGTTGCCATACAGTTTGCCCTTATTTAGCCCATTTATAAAAGAATATATTTCACTGAGAAATATATGAGAGATACTTGCTCTGTTTGCACTGTTAACCATTTGTTGTTATCTAACAGAACTAACAGAATAAGAATATGTAAAATGATGGTGTATCAAGTTAATATGAATTCTTTAACATTATATATCTAATATATTTACCTGAAAATAAAATTAAGTAGAAAATAAGTTGTTTTACTGCTGTGATTTGATGAAGAAAACATTTTTTTGAGAGGAGAATTCCACATTTTTATCAATTACCTCTTGTAATAATAACATTTTAAGAATTACCTAACTTATATTTGTATTATAGAGTATAATATAGGAGACTGTTATATGTGTTAAACAATGTATATATCACTATAAGTATTGATATATAACAGACATACTCTCTCATACAGGTATCATGTCTGGCCAGTGTGATTGATTTTTTAATCTTGTCTATGAAATGATTTTCCTGCAGCTGTTTTTACTGTCTTATATATAGAACAATATAAAACATTGTAGTAGTTGAACATTAGTAGATCTAGTTGCTGGTGGTAAAACTAGGGCCATCCGGTTAGCTCAATAGGTAGAGCGTTGGACTGTGAACCGGGCGAGCCGGGTTGATTCCTGGACGGTGTAGCTAGGTCACTTTCATTATGATTAATTATGAAATCCTTTCAATGGTCATTCGCACTGTACCTCTGCTCTGGCATGTACAGAAGTTATCAGTTCCTTGTGAAAATGAACTTGCATCTTGTACTGGTAAACTGTTTAACAGCCTGCCCAGGAACGGTAGTTGAACTGTACTCTGGTAAATTGAAAGTGGCTCACTGCCATGATCCAGAGTGAAAACTACCAACATCACCAAGTTTCTGATGGTAAAAAATATAATAATTGTACTCTTGTTGTTTTAAGAATATGGCTATGTATTAGAGGTACCACTGTATGTATTTATGATGCAGTGCTATATATTTCTATAGAAAATGTAGCCCTACAGAAATTATAATCTGAAGTAGAATCATAATTACCCTTTTCACATTTACAGAGACTGTACAGTAACTTATAATTTATATTTTCAAATTTTTATGCCAACATCATATCTTAATTTATATTTTAGTTGTATTTACCTGAGATAAACATGATGTAGTTTCAAAAAAGTGAAAAGTGTGTTCCTTACTATGTTAGATTTCAGTTGATACTACAATGAAATATAGATAACATATAGAATGCCTAACTCAATGTCAGCAGTTGTAGTATAAAATAACCTGCTTAAAGAGACCACCTACAGTTGTAGTATAAAATAACCTGCTATAAGAGACCACCTACAGTTGTAGTATAAAATAACCTGCTATAGGAGACCATTCAGTTGTGGTATAAAATAACCTGCTATAGGAGACCATCTACAGTTGTGGTATAAAATAACCTGCTATAAGAGACCACCTACAGTTGTAGTATAAAATAACCTGCTATAAGAGACCACCTACAGTTGTAGTATAAAATAACCTGCTATAAGAGACCACCTACAGTTGTAGTATAAAATAACCTGCTATAAGAGACCACCTACAGTTGTAGTATAAAATAACCTGCTATAAGAGACCACCTACAGTTGTAGTATAAAATAACCTGCTATAAGAGACCACCTACAGTTGTAGTATAAAATAACCTGCTATAAGAGACCAACTACAGGTATAGTATAAAATAACCTGCTATAAGAGACCATCTACAGTTGTAGTATAAAATAACCTGCTATAAGAGACCACCTACAGTTGTAGTATAAATAACCTGCTATAAGAGACCACCTACAGTTGTAGTATAAAATAACCTGCTATAAGAGACCAACTACAGTTGTAGTATAAAATAACCTGCTATAAGAGACCACCTACAGTTGTAGTATAGAATAACCTGCTATAAGAGATCACCTACAGCTGTAGTATAAAATAACCTGCTATAAGAGACCACCTACAGTTGTAGTATAAAATAACCTGCTATAAGAGACCATCTACAAACAATGTGCTATTTTACCAAAGAGTTTATTGTCAGTATGTGTGTATATGTGCTCAACATTAATTAACAGCAACAAATATTGATCAGGTCAGGAAACTTATTTCAATAACACAACTAAATGTCCCCTTTATAGAATTTATACAATGTATTTTATTTTTCAAGAATCAACTCATAGTATTTTAGTATGTTAAAAATAATCCCATATATATGATATTACAGGTGAGTTTTCCAGTGAGACGGTATGTGAGGGTGACCAGTTAGAGTTAAGATGTAGCAGGTCAACACGTATAGCAATATCTTCTGGTCTGTTTGGTAGAACACTACAGGGAGATACAAAATGTCCAGAATTATTACGTAATACTTCAGCTTTAAAATCAAGTAAGTTTTACTTTATATATCTGTATTGTTTGATAACTATACAATCAGATAGAACTATATAATGAAGTAACAGTAACTGTTACCTTGTTTCTACCATTTAATCTATATACCGAGTGATAGAACTTGAATTTCAAACATTCATAACTTTAAACTATAGATTAATTACAATGTCACAATGTTTTGTTGATAATAGCAGCAGAGTTGTTCCCCTTTAATCATAGTAATAGTTACATTAGGTTTGTTATATGTTTGTATTTCAGCTTGCCAGTCAAAGGTTGTGATAGATGAATTATTGAGGCAGTGTCATGGCAGGAAGAGATGTACATTAGAGGCAGAGGAATATATATTTGGAAATCCTTGTCCGCCAGGAGTCAATAAATACCTCAATATTGTTTAGACCACCTACAGTTGTAGTATAAAAATAACCACCTACAGTTGTAGTATAATATAACCTGCTATAAGAGACCACCTACAGTTGTAGTATAAGATAACCTGCTATAAGAGACCACCTACAGTTGTAGTATAAATAACCTGCTATAAGAGACCACCTACAGTTGTAATATAAAATAAGCTGCTAGAAGAGACCACCTACAGTTGTAGTATAAAATAACCTGCTAAAAGAGACACCTACAGTTGTATTATAAAATAACCTGCAGTAAGAGACCACCTACAGTTGTTGTATAAAATAAGCTGCTTTAAGAGACCACCTACAGTTGTATTATAAAATAACATGCAGTAAGAGACCACCTACAGTTGTATTATAAAATAACCTGCAGTAAGAGACCACCTACAGTTGTAGTTTAAAATAACCCGCTATAAGAGACCACCTACAGTTGTAGTATAAAATAACCTGCAGTAAGAGACCACCTATAGTTGTAGTATAAAATAACCTGCTATAAGAGACCACCTACAGTTGAAGTATAAAATAACCTGCTATAAGAGACCACCTACAGACAATGTGCTATTTTACCAAAGAGTTTATTGTCAGTATGTGTGTATATGTGCTCAACATTAATTAACAGCAACAAATATTGATCAGGTCAGGAAACTTATTTCAATAACACAAATAAATGTCCCGTATATAGAAGTTTTACATTGTATTGTATTTTTCAAGAATCAACTCATAATATTTTAGTATGTTAAAAAAACACGATATATATATGACATTACAGGTGAGTTTTCCAGTGAGACGGTATGTGAAGGTGACCAGTTAGAGTTACGATGTAGCAGGTCAACACGTATAGCAATATCTTCTGGTCTGTTTGGTAGAACACTACAGGGAGATACAAAATGTCCAGAATTGTTACGTAATACTTCAGCTTTAAAATCAAGTAAGTTTTACTTTATATATCTGTATTGTTTGATTACTATACAATCAGATAGAACTATATAATGAAGTAACAGTAACTGTTACCTTCTTTCTACCATTTAATCTATATACCAAGTGATAAAACGTGAATTTCAAACATCCATTACTTTAAACTATAGATTAATTACAATGTCACAATGTTTTGTTGATAATAGCAGCAGAGTTGTTCCCCTTTAATCATAGTAATAGTTACATTAGGTTTGTTATATGTTATATATTTCAGGTTGCCAGTCAAAGGTTGTGATAGATGAATTATTGAGGCAGTGTCATGGCAGGAAGAGATGTACATTAGAGGCAGAGGAATATATATTTGGAAATCCTTGTCCGCCAGGAGTCAATAAATACCTCAATATTGTTTATACATGTGGTAAGATCTAATTCATATGTTAAATGTTCAAAATCTGAATTTATTTTCACTTTCTACAAACTTGTAATCTGAAAATATTCAGTGTTGAAATACATCGTTTTTGGCAAATTACTAGAAAATAAATGGTGAACAAATTGGCAAACTGTTAAAATATATTTTCTACTTTAAGTCAGTGTTAGAATTACTGGCTTCAATTTAACTGGTGTGGTGGGGTCTTTGAGACAAAGAAAAAATTAAGTGAGAAAGAAGTTTGGGAAGTCTTAAAGATTAATGCCAGTGTTTGTTTAATGCATCATTAACATCACAGCCTACTGCACAGGATTCATGTTTTGGCACCTAAGTTCACAAAGGTCAAATATCCGATAACAATAATTAGACTGGTACTAAAATAACTGTTTGTTGTAAAACCAGTCACTAATGAGCCATTAATATGTACAGTCAAGATAATCCAGAGGTTAAAGTCATAAAACCTGGGAGATTTAGGAGTATGGCTAGTTAAATACCAACTTAATAGTTCAATGTTTTAGTATAGAAGTGGAATATTGTTAAAGTCAAGAACCCTATAAATTCTAGACACTGACAGTTTGGTATGTACACTGACCATGTTACACTGATATACATATACTGGCTGGATTATATATCTTTACGAGAGGAGATATTTGAAAACAAAAGATGTGTTTATCTGACTAAAGTTATTGATGATGTTTGTATTTATTGATAGTATGTTCTTACCTGATAGATTATTGTATTGTATTTTATCTGTTACAAATACCACATGCTAGGTAAATCCTTTATTCACACTTGCTGACTTTTTCAATACAATATAAAAGGAATGATGACTGATTTACTGGTTCCCTGGTAGTATACAAAAATCCTTGTTAATAAATCCAGGCTGTATACTGGTGGCCTGGCAGTAAACAAGAATCCTGGCTGTATATTGGTTGTTTGCAATTTATAATATTCAAATCCTGGCTGCATATTGTTAGCCTGAAAGTATACAATAATTCTATTGGCATATCGTTAGCCTGGAAGTATACAAGAATACTAGTGGTATATTGTTAGCCTGAAAGTATACAATAATCATTGCTGCATATTGATAGCCTGGAAGTATACAATAATCATGGCTGTATATTGTTAATTGTTAGCCTGGAAGTATACAAGAATCCTATAGTGGTATATTGATAGTTTTGAAGTATACAAGAATTCTGTCTATGTTCTTGAGGCTAGCTTAAGTCAGTACATTTTGTATATTGATGACCTTGTTGTATACAAGAAGCCTGGCATTATATTGGTGGTAGAAAAATTCTGGTAATAGGTCATCCCTTGAGAGCAATTAAAACAGAAAACCAACAGCTTGGTTATTAGAGTTAGAACCAAAGCTGTGTACTAAAAGAGTGGCTATATCCTAGAACCATGGCTGTATACTTTTGGTTTGGTCTTAAGTCTTTTTGTTCATTGTAAATGATTAAAGGATAAATAAGGTGTAGTTATACTATGATGGTATTTTTGTTTCAGTTCCAAAAAGGGTGCTGATTTCAGTGAGACGCCATAATCACAGGAAACATGATAAACATAAGAGTGATGATGAAAAGGGCAGTAAAACCAAGGACATTCCATCATCACATGTACATAATATATCCTCACATCATACAACTTTAACTCCAGAAAAACCTTCTGCAGGTTAGTTCTTCTTTGTCTTAGTTATGTTTATTTCATTTAGAAAAAAATTGAGGGATCTTGACATTTCCCATCTCGAATGATTCCCCTCATATTATTTTTACAGGGTGGGCAATTCACCTGCCATTTGGTTTTTTCCACCTTGGACATTTTCCCTTCCCATATTTTCACTAGGATGGATAATTCCCCTCCCGCTATTTTATTTTATATCACCAAGGACAATTCTTTTATGGTGATAATAATCAGTGTGAACAAAGTATTTTCTAGGCAAAAATGTTTGGTTGCAAACTGCAAGTCATCTAAACTGCTATAAATATGAATTTCACCATTTACATTGAACTATTTCATGTTCATGTGTGAAAGTTCTGGTGACAGTTCATGCTTGTAATAATTCACAAAGTGGCTCTCTGCACCAGCTGAAAAAATCACCATATGACCTTAAGAATGTCAGTTTGTTATAAAGTTTTATAAAGCCTTACATAGACCAAGTGAAGATTAATATTTCTTGTTTATTATTGTTGATAGTTAGTTTGTACAAATTTATTTTAGTTTTCATGTTTGATTGAAGCTATAAGGTTATTCTGTTCCTGGTACCAACCAGTTCTAAGCAATGAATGTAAAGTTTCTTGCTCAAGGAAACAAAAAATGCTCCTGAAGGGGTTTGAGCCCATGTTGCCAGCAATCCTTTGATTACTAGTCCAATGTGTTAAGCACTGGGCCATGCCAACACTTATTGTTATTGTTGTTAAACAACAATGTACATATTTTGAAATAAAAATTGATATTCCAGACTTTCCCGACACAGCACAGCAACATCCTAGTGATCCTGTGATTGGTCAAAGTAAAGATTCCCAGGATTCCAAGGGAAAATTTAGATATGATACCAAACTTGGTAAAGATACTTACTTAGAATCAGGTATGTTTAATATATATATATCATAGGTACTGTGACGATTGCTTTAGAATAATAATTGAAAAGAAATAATATAATTGATTTACAAGATGTTACAGTATCATTGAGATGTTATAAATGCCATAAATTTAAAGTCACAAGAAATGGACATTTTATTATTGTGTTAATGTTTAAAAAATGTTTAATGTTTAAAAATGTTTTGAATACTTTATCAATGTGTTATTGTGTATTTCAGGGAACACAACTCCATGTATGAACCAGTCACATGGTCACAATGGCCCTTCAGCCACAGGTTTACTGTCAGACTGGTTAAATGCATTTAACTTTATAAAAGGTTTGTTTCTTTATTCTGTCACAGTCCATAATATTCTTATTATTTTATTTAAAGTTATAATTTGCTACTATGGAAGCTTGTTGATCAGTTAATAGAATTCAAAATTCTTGAAACAAAATCTACAGAATTATAATGATATTATAATTACCTTTATATTGTTTAATATGTAAACAATAGGGGCATCAGTTGCTGAGTGGTTAAGGTCTTTGACTTGAAACCACTTGCCTGTCACTGCTGTAGTTTGAGTTGCAACAGCATGTTCAGATCCTTCATGTGAGAAAGCGCAGTCGAGCTACTTTACAGAATATTGGTGGTTCTACTTAGGTGCCTGTTTCTTCCTGAAATAATTGTACAGATGGGCACCTGAGGTCTTCCTCCACCAGTAAAGCTGGAAAGTCACCATATGACCTATACTGTGTTGATGCAACATTAAACCCAATTAAAAAAATATGTAAACTGTTTATCATATAGCTTATAAAGGTAGATTGTACTGTCACTATTTTTATTAGCTCATATAGCCAAGTAAAATGTTAATGTCACCTCAATATTAAAACAAATTTAAAACTTAATAAATTGAACTGAATTGTTTTGATATTAATTTGATATTTGGGCTATAATGATAATGACTTTAAATATTTTCTATTACAAAAAACAGTTCTTATTTTGGATATATAATACATAGAATATGATACTCCAGTAGGTTCATTACTAAATTTATTATGGCCTCGTATAGTATAATTTTATTCAACTTGTTTAATAAATTCAGTATTGAACCTATTGTATTGAACTTATTGAATATCCTCCAATAAATTCAGTATTGAACCTACACTCATTGAATATCCTCTATAATGTTAATGATTATAATATTTTATATTACAGAGAACAGGGAGAAAGCTGTGTTATATTTAGTGCTGGGTGTAGCATTTGGAATCATTTCCATTCTTTTTCTTGTGATAATTAGACTTGCAATAGTAAACAAACGTAAATCGAAAGCTAAACTTGATATTTCGGAACCAGCCCACATAGATCACCCGCCTCCATCAAACCACATTGAGGCTCCAACACTAGAGAGAACAGACTCTGTTGATAGGATTGAGGTGGTCAGGTTCAATCCAATGCGAAGTCGTGACTTTGCTACATGTACATTAAGAAGTGATATTGGCAATAGAAGCTTAACAAACTATTATGGCTGAATTAAAGTGATCTTTTCTGCTGTTAAGCAGTAAAGAAGCTGATCTCTGTGAAATACAAACTTTACATGAGAACAGAGAAGCACAACAGATATGAAAGCATTTAGTGCTACCTGATCTAAGGGAAGTAACTGTGAAATATGAAGACATGCTAATAGGAGAGTTACTTCCCTTTAGTTGTTGTAAATGTGATAGAGTACCTCCACAGTGTTGGGAAGATGCAATATGACATTTATTGTACTATATTATCTGTCATGCTAACAGTTTTTATATTGAAACAAAAATCTTCCAACATAATTCTCTATTGAACTGGTAAATATTTGTGTATCAGTCCATCACAGATTATAGATTGTCTTGTAAGATGTAAAGTGGAAACTTTAACATAAGAAATTCATCCATAATTTGCGCATTTATTGAATTTTTGATTGCATAAAATTAGAAATAAGGCGTTACAAAGGGTACATGTGAACACAAGAATGTCAATTTTAGACTTGTATTATTCCCCTTAATATGTATTTCATAAAAATGTTGCTTAGTTTCCTGACAGAATTAAATCTAAGTATTTCTATAATGAAATATTATTTGTTTTCACTTCTGAAATGGCATATATTTATGAAGTATTTAAATGTGTTTTTTTACATATCAATATGAAATGGCAGTTGTTTTATATTTAATATATGTCTTTAAAAAGGAACATACTCATACCCTGTTAATTGATTTGTTCAATTATTTTTAGTTAATACATATAAAAGTGACATGCAACTTTATTTCAGCACCAAGCCTGGCAAAATAAGAAAGATAAATCTGTTATAGGTTTAAAAGCAAGACTGAAACAATTATTACCTCCCTTTATCTACAGCATTAAAGATCAAATAGAAATTTGATTGTTTTAATATTAAACTGTATGAAATGAATACATCATAAGTTAACAGTTTGAAATGATTCTGATTCAGGGCCTATTGATTGATAATATTAAGATATTTTTCTAACATTGTTTTTATCAAATTACCATGTATAACATTGGTAACATTGGCTCTCAGTAGCTTCACTAAAGAAACAGATGGTAATAAACTAAGAGTGTGTTGCTTTCTAAAGATATAGACTTGATATTATATTATGTATATACATGTATATTGTACAATATGTACATGTATATTGTACATGTATATTGTACATGTATATTGTACAATATGTACATGTATATTGTACATGTATATTGTACATGTATATTGTACATGTATATTGTACAATATGTACATGTATATTGTACATGTATATTGTACATGTATATTGTACAATATGAACATGTATATTGTACATGTATATTGTACAATATGTACATGTATATTGTACATGTATATTGTACATGTATATTGTACATGTATATTGTACAATATGTACATGTATATTGTACATGTATATTGTACAATATGTACATGTATATTGTACATGTATATTGTACATGTATATTGTACAATATGAATATGTATATTGTACATGTATATTAGTGTAAGACAGTGACTACAGGAAGGTGCTATAGTTGTATGGTCATTGGAAAGTAAACAATTTGTTTACGTGGTTGTAAAAGAATTTTTATCTGGCAATAATGAATTTTTTTACATGATTATGTTTACATTTTCATCTTGCAGTTTGTGTACATGATCATGTCAGCATTTTAATCTGGCAATTTGTTTACATGATTATGTTAACATTTTCATCTGGCAATTTGTTTACATGATTATTTTAACATTTTTATCTGGCAATTTGTTTACATTATACTGTTAACATTTTCATCTGGCAATTTGTTTACATGATTATGTTTACATTTTCATCTGGCAATTTGTTTACATGATTATGTTTACATTTTCATCTGGCAATTTGTTTACATGATTATGTTTACATTTTCATCTGGCAATTTGTTTACATGATTATGTTTACATTTTTATCTGGCAATTTGTTTACATTATACTGTTAACATTTTCATCTGGCAATTTGTTTACATGATTATGTTAACATTTTCATCTGGCAATTTGTTTACATGATTATTTTAACATTTTCATCTGGCTATTTGTTAACATGATTATGTTAACATTTTCATCTGGCAATTTGTTTACATGATTATGTTAACACTTTCATCTGGCAATTTGTTAACATGATTATGTCACATTTTCATCTGGCAATTTGTTTACATGATTATTTAACATTTTCACATTTACAAAATTTCATAATGAAATAGTATGTAAATACTTATTTCAGTATTTTTTTATGGAAAGGAAAATTGAAAGGCAATGATATGTTTTCCATCAATTACAAAGCATTCCTTTGGTTTTATTATAGTAACATGTATATAAAAATTGTTTTGTATCTTGGACATTCTTAGCAATTACAAATTTTCAATAGAATTTGAAGTAAACTTTCTATTATAATTGAATAAGTTGTATGTTATTTTGAAAACATTGTGACATATTACAACTGTTAACATTTTATCAGCCTGAACGATTGAATCTCTTCATTATTTGCACCAACTCGATTTTCAATGAAGTCATTTTATTAGGTCAGATTTTTTTGTACAATTGATATTATTAAAAAAATGCTGCTAAATGATTTTTTTCCATTTTCCATAGAAAATGTATTTGTATATCTATAGTTTGAAGTCAGGATCAAAAGAATTAGAAGAGAATGATCTAGGGTAAACTTAATTTTATAAATTATTGAATATTTTGAGGCTTTGATTTTTTATAAGTTCAATATAGATCTGATGTTATATTTATATGATGTACTTTTTTTTACTTTTCTAAATTATCTGGTTTTAAGAAATGATATTTTTAGTGATTTAAGTGGTAAATTCTTTCATGAGTAGTAGGTGGTTATAGGTCCCATGTGTCACTTATTAATAAGTTAAACATAAAGCTATTAATTTAACCAATAAAGAGATTGGTTTGTCAGTCTGTTTATTCAACATGGACCGCTCTAATTGTTATGTTTACGTCTGATAGAAAAGATGATGGACTGTAAAACTGTCATCATCAATTGTTAATTGTATATCAATATGTAATCAACCATTTGAAAAATGTAAGAATTTAAAACAGTCTTACCAATTCTCCAGGAAATGAATTAATTTTAAAGGTATATGAAACAGAAATGCGTCTATTGTGACTGCAAGCATCTGTAAAACAAAATTACTTTAATTGTGTCAAAACTACGAACCAATAAATAGGTTTGATGCTAGGGGGGCAAGGTTGGTAACTTGCACCTGACAGTTACTGTCCATGAACAGGCTTAATCAAACAGAGTCTGCAACATTTTCAATTTTGCTGTGTTGGGCTTTTTTTTAGGGATTTCTGTTTTTTTTCTATTTTGATGTTAAGAGTGAAAACATAAATACACATTTAAAAGGTTTTTGTTTTATTTATGAAAAATCTGGTTCGTCATACTTATTGCAGGGACGTATATAAAGATTTATTACCCTTCCAGATTTTTTCCGCCTTTTTGATTGGATATTGATCACCCGAAAGAAATTGATATAACCGAGCCAGACGGGTAATATACACACTAAATTTCCCCGTTTGGTACCCAACGTTGTAAACAATATGCGCTGAGGTGATGCGCGTACGGTTCGATTTTACGCGGTGTAAATTCCGATTTAAAAGCAATTTTTAACTGTCAAATGATAAATATTTACCAAAATAGAGTAATGATACATATATCCATCAGTATCGAAAACAAATATGACCTTGTGAAAGCTTGATATTAATGACAAAAAAGTGCGTTCAACAGACTACTCCTTTTCTCTTGTTTACTTTCGTAAGGTACGGGAAAAATACGTCATGTATTTATGTGACGTCATGTTGTGACGAAGAGGTATCCTAAAGGGAATCTTATTTCGACGTTTCATTTGAAACAGCAATGATTTTTTAAAAAATCGTCTAAACTCGGCAGGGGAAGGGTAATAAAATTATTATTTTGGTTTTGGAGTGATATATGTGGATATATTACCTGCCAAGATAAAATATCACCCTCGCCTAACGGCTCGGGTGATATAAAATCTTAACAGGTAATATATCCATATATATCACTCCAAAACCAAAATAACATATAATATCTGCCTGCTAATTGTTAATGTGTACATTGGGTAAATATAGAAAAAGTGAAGTTTTGATGATGATAGCAAATTTTGAGTTAGATTTTGGTTTGTGTATCTACCTAGATCTGAATTTATTATATTAATAGATACAAAATGTAACTTTTATTTATCATTTTAATATAAGTTCATATTTTAAAGATATAGTAGTTTTTTTTTTATATTGATAGCTTAAATTTTTTAATAAAGAAATGGCTTTAATATGTTCCGGAGAAACACGGGTAAACTATAAATTGCAATTTCATATACCATATATCATCTCATATTGAATGCTAAATAAAATATTCAGTAAAAACTCTAAAATACCAATTGTCTGTGTCCATTCAGCACAGTTTACAAAGTTCCTATTCATATCTTATGTATTATACATAGTGATGCTCTCCCTAATCCATATCATATTGATAGCTTATAGCTTTTTCACAACAAACAGTTTTCTCTTTCTAATTAAAATTTTCTTTAAAAATCATAATGATTGACCAAAATTCCCAACTTTCACCAGATTTTTACTTTCTCAAATTAACATTTTATGATAATGTTTTCCTAAAATTAAGAAGCTAAGGAATCACCTCCGTGGTCGAGGGGTTAAAGTCAATGACTTCTTATCCAGTTACTCTGTGGCATGGGTTTGATCCCCGGGAGATGCTTTGGTAGTTTAGCACAGAGGAAAGTAGTCTAGTACTGATGTAACTCTCCAGGAACGATGGTTAGGAAACTACTCGCCTATATGACTGAAATACGGTCGGGAATAGGCTAAAATGAAACAAACAAAAAGAAGCTAAGGCCTCTTCCCTATAAAGAGAGAAACCCCTTGAACATTGTCATTATGTAAACCACGGATTTGGGACCATGTCATGGATAGCCAATCAGCTAGCTAGACAATTAAACTGTGAAACAGTGTGATAGATGGTCTATGAAAGTGACACAATAAATAAAATCAGTCTCTTTGTCTTGATGATTTGGAAGAAAATTCTTGACCCACAGACATAATTATTAAAAGAAACATACTGATTGAAA